AGCCAGCACAACTCACTGCCTTTCCTAGGGTTAATAATCTGGTGGAGAAAGAGCTGGCTTAGAGTTGTGAATCTTAGAGAAGTGAGCAAAGGAAGCCTCTGTGAGAAAGAAGTCAGGCTCATGCCCCCAAGAAGCAGTCAGGCAGCATCGCTGTCCCCTGGGGACCCAGAGGGCAGAAGCCACACCTCCAGGAGGGGCAGGTGGAGCAGGGGCAGGGCAGGAGGTGATTCACCCGGGAGCTGATGGTTTTGCTGGGAATTCTGTGGGCTTGTAGAACATCTGTATGTGGGGAGTGTGATACTTCCCGGGGCTCCTTAAAGCAGCCTCCAACGCATCCCCGGCCCCCGTCTCGCCCTGTGTGGGGACCACGCTCTGCACACACCTCTGGCTGCAGGTTGGTACGGCGCGTGCCACCCACATGGTGCTGCCAGGGCTGCGGGGGAGGATGGCGGTCTGTCTGGTGATAAACCACAGGTGGACGTTGCAGCGGAGTGAACCCTCAGGAGGAGCAGCCACCTGAGGTGGGGCTGGGGAAGTTTGCGGATGGACGGGAGCAGAGCTTAAGGCCACACATCCCACACTCAGGAAAAATATCCTCATTACTGAAAGATCACAGCCCTGCAGAAGGGTTCACAGTGAACATCATACGGAGAGCCCCAGAACACTGTGGCAAGTTTGTGCAGCCCTGATGGGGGTGTCCCCAACTCATTCTGGGCCCCCGGCTCCCAGATGCCTCTTGGCCAAGGATAAACCAGGTCTCTCAGCTTGAAAAGACACCCTAGCTGTGGTCACATCTCCTGCTGTAGGCTCAGGGCTCAAGAAACCAGGGCACTGGCTGCTCAATGTCCCAGAATGCGGCAAAATCTTAAATGGGACAGAAATCCAAATGCAGAAAGGACGCGCTCTCCAGGACCCATCTGAACAGTTACTTTCAGGCAGGTGGGACCACTCTCAGGTTCTCTTCACCATCTTCCAGACACACAGACAGCAGATCAAGAAAACCTGCCTTTCCCTGCCTGCAAAATGACGAACAATCCAACAATTCCAAGTGCTGACAGGAGAATGGAAACAGGGTCATTGCTTAATTTGGAAAATGGAAGTAGTGTTGGTACTCAGAGGATTATTTAGGGGAAACATCTGAATAATTCTTGCCGGGTGGGAGGAGCTGCTGCTGCAGTGTGAGGACACAGAACCCAACCGCCGCAGCACCACACGCGAGCCTACCTTGCCCTCATCCTCCGGGTCGCTGTAGCCACAGGCATCTATGAAATCCGGGAAAGTCTCCGACCACCCATCACTCGTACAGTTTTTGCTTATGTTTCCTGGAAAGTGAAATTCAGATATTTTATTTGCAAATCCATGAAAACTGGCCTTAGAAGGCACCATTTGGTCCGTGCTGAGCCTGTGCTATCTTAAAATGTTTCCCATGCCCAGGGGTCAGCTAGGAGACATGGCTGCCCCTCGAAAAAACTTCCTTGGCCTCCTTGTCCATGTGACCTGGCCAGCAGGCCACCTCTAGGGGGCCTGAGATGTGAGTGAATGCACTGTGTCATAAATCATCATTACCACAGCTGGAAGTGTAGCTCTTTTGGGTCAGAATGAAAATTCTTAATAGATTCTTACATTCTGCCACCATAAGTGATATTTGCAGCCAAGCACTGACCATCCTGGAGCCAGGTGCTTCACCTGCCCCAGGTCCTGACAGCACCCTCCCTCCTCCCTACTAGGCCCTCACCACCAACCCTGACCCAGTAGGGCAGGTTCCACTTGGCCACTGGTATTGGAAGAAAGGATGGAGGAATTACAGTTTAATCACATGAAACCAAGGCAGTTATGCCCTTACAATATCATCATTTGCTCCTAAACAAGTAAAATCATATGTAAGCTCAGAAATTCGATGTTCTTTGTATTTGTGTGTGTCCTTAGCAGATGGGGCCACACGGAACAGTGATAAAGCTCTCAAGGGTGTCCGAGGCATAAGAATGAAACCAGGCACTGAACCCCATGCCAGCCTTGCCCTGAGCATGGCTGCATGGCCTCAGGATCACCCCACCGCAGAGCCCACAAGGCCGGACCCCTCCATGCACCCCTGAGCCTGGTGTGGCTGGAGCGGGGCACCTGTCTCCCTGCCTGGGGGACTGGAAGGGCCTGGGGCTTTGGAGTTATCCAATATATTCGCTCTCATGACTTTAATTTCAAGAAAACCTTGCAAGACAGACTTGGTGGGCACTGCTGTTCCCATTTTACAGAAGAGGAAAACAAAGCTTTGAGGACTTAGTAGTCTGAGTGGGGTGCATGTGTGATTCTTGTCATGCACTGGTGAGAGGCAGAGAGAGGGCCCGGCCAGGCCCTGACTCTACCAGGGAGGAGTGGGTAGGAGGCTGGTCTCAGCAAGGCCACAGGGCTGGTCCTACCCATTGGCACCCCGACACTGTCACCAACTGGGGGCTCTGACTACAAGACCCACACCTCACACAGTGAGCTCCAGGGGGTTCTGGGGGCTGCTTAGCTGCAGAGGCCCCCATACACAGTGGAGGCAAAACAGACCCCTAAAGGGGGCAATACTCCTAGACGTCTGGTTCCACTGCCCCAATTTATGGACAAGGAGACAGGCCCACAAACAAAAATGATGTGCCCACTACAGACTCAGGAACAGCACTCGTAATGGTTGTTATAATGATAATAGTCACGTGGTAGTGGCAGCTATGACTCACCGAGCTCTCAGGAACGCTGGGCTCTGTGCTTGCAACAGCCCAGTTAATCCCGACAACCACAGGAGGCAACTCTCTCATTAACCTCAGAGACGAGATGGCCGAGGCTGAGGGAAGTTGTGCCACTTGCCCAAAGTCACACTGCTGGTGAGCGATGGGCCAAGTGCCACACCTGACAGCTTGGCTCTCAACTGAGCAGGGCACTTGCAGGTCCTATCCTGAGCCTGGAGCCAGGACTTGGGTGGGAGCTAAGCCTGTCACTCATCCTCTGCGAGATGCAGCCCTTTTTCCTTCATACAAGGATCAGTGTTTACCAATCCAAAGAAGATGCTTAAATAAAACTCAAAAAACTAAGCCAGTAAGTCATTCTATGAAGTGCAGATTCTCTTACAGGTTCTCCATCCTTTCTGACTTCTCACTCCTGAGACACATGGGGCAGATGTGGAAGGACAAGAAATGGCAACCTGCAGAGAGATCAGGGAGGTGCAGTGATGCCCAGGAGGGGCAGAGAGGCCAGGAAGATGCAAAGAAAGGTTGGGGGCAGGGGGGGGCGCCATCCTCTCGCCCACTTGCCAGACAAAGAATACTTGAAGGCCTGCCTTAGGGCTTCAGTGCTTCTCAGCGACTATTCCAAGCCCCATGAACCTACATCATCCTCCACTCAGGGCTGCGCTGATGCCCCTTTGTCTGCTGCACCTGGACCTATGTCTGTGCTGGAGGGGGCTGAGCTGCTGCCCTGGGTCTGGCTACAACAGCACCATGCAGAATTGGCAGGTGGGCACCAGGAGCAACTGGAAACACGGAGAGCAAGTCAAGGGAGAAAAGCCAGCACACAGCTGTCAGAGCTGCCTCCAGGGCGCTGAGCATGGGGCATGAGCAAGAGCTGCTCACGGAAGGCTGTCGTCCCGTGGTGAGTCCTCCTGCCTCTCACCCCAGCTCTCTGCTTCCCTTGTTCCCCTCTATGCAGACAGTTGGCTCACTGCCTCCTGGAGGGGATGGGGACAGGAAATACCAGAAGCACCTAATCCTCACAGCTTTCCCCGAGCACCAGCGGTGAAGTCCAGCCCAGGTGGGAGAGGGGTAAAGTCTTGCTCGGGTGGGGAGAGAGCTTGCATCCCAGGTCCTAACTCTGCAGGGCAGGAGTTTGCATTCTGGTGTTTGCCAATGTGGAAACCACAAGACTGCTGGATGCTTTCTGGAAGCCTCAGAACCATGCCATTGACTAGGAAAAGCTGGAGTCCATGCCAATTCACTCCAGATCTCTGGAAGAATGGATGTAGCCCAAGCTGATTAGTAGAAATGCTACTGACCGGAGGGGCAGTTCTTAAAGTTCAGGTCCTCTAAAGTGACATAGATTCTAACTTGGGGGTGGCCAATGATGCTGACACAAGCATGGTCCCCACCTTTAGGCTGCTCTGCTGGCAACTCGGGGTGAGGAAGTAAAAAAATCTTCCTTTCAGAATCTGCTTTTCCTCTGTCCTAATCTCTGTTCTAATATTTTGCTTTAACACTTCAACATTATTACTTCCCAGCATCTTTACCCTTTAGCCTCTGTCCAAGATAAAAGCAAATTCTCCATAGCACTCCAAGGTATTATGCTTTCTGTTTCCAGATGTTTCTTATGTTTTCTATTTTTCTAAATAGAATTTCTTCACATTATGAAACTCTGAATCACTCACAAAAATAATCAAAACCCTTCTGTGAGGATTCAGCCAAGAGATATTTGCAGCACCGCACATGGAGCATGCCCTGGACACAGAGAAGGAGCCTGGAACCCCAGAGAAACTACAAATTCCAGGCAGCATCAAACCTGTGAGGCAGCAAGTACGTCGGGGGAGTGGGTTCAGTACACTAAGTGCATCCTGGGGCCTCTCTCCTGAGCATGGAAGCTCTGGGTGCCACACTTTCCCACTTCCCAGAACCTTCTAGAGCATGTTCTCTGGGGTTCACAGACCAACTCAGCAGAAGGAGGGGAGCCTCCTTTATGAACCCTTTGCATTCCCCCCACTCTCATGCACTTTTCCCATGCTTTGGTTTCCATTTGGCTCCTGTGTCCCCTGGTTCTTTCCCTGCAATTGCCCTGCTCTCCGGGGTTTGGATGAAGGTAGGCAATGCCCTCCTGCTCCCTAAGACGGGCACTCACCCCAATGTGCCATAGCTGTTCCCTGACCCCCAGGGTAGCAGGAAATGCCTGAAGGAAAGTGATTTTCCTGCTTCTTGGATGGAAAAAATGGATGCTCAGACGCAAACACCGTGGGGGAGCTAAGGAACTCAACCCATAGACGGTACCTGCTTTGCTGTAAAAATTGCTGAAGACTTTTGGGCAGGGCACCGTGACTGTCTCTCCCACATTGGCAGGCCGCCAGCACGTGATGTTGTCCCAGACGCCACTGCAGGCTGGAAAGGAGAGAAGCAGAATGAGGCAGGCACAAGGTGACAGAAGTGTCACAAATGGAAAAGCCATTAATGAGATAACTGCCTCACTAACTCCTTTTCTGTGAAACACACACCAACACAATTATTGAGGCTATAGTTAGCTTGTGGGTTCATCTCAATTAGCTTTGGAGGAATAATCACACGGTGACAGAAAGCATTTGAGTAATTCAATGTATACTATGTTCTTTCTGAATTTTAAGAGCAATATATACTATGTGCTTTCTGAATCTTTAATATTTCTTGTGATCAGCATTTCCCAGTGTGATGAAATGGGCACCACTGGGTATTAGCTTAAGTCTTGCAGACTTGGGCCTGTGGGGGAGGAAGACTCCCGGGGAAAGTATGCTTGTGCTTCTGGGGAATCTGACATCACTGATTATTTGCAAACTGAGGTATTTGATAAGAGTTTGGTCCTCTCAAGACACCTTATTAGCAACAAAATCTTAGGTTACCTTCGTGGAGTTATCAAATAATTTGCATAATGCATAGATTAAACATTTTTAGATCTCTTATTTGGTCTTAACCACTTGGTAAAGGTAAGTCATAAAAACATTGCATTATCTTCCAGATGCAAAGCACTAGGGTTAGAATCATTTAATGATTTTTCAATATTGCCCAACAGTGACAGAATCCATGTTTAAATCCAGGACTTTTTCTTACATATCCATGGTATTTATACTATATTTGAGACCTCTAAAATTTTATCTTTTACTTAAACCTCAATATTGGAAAAGCAATGTGCTATCCTAGGTAAAAACCAACAAACAAACTCTCAGACACATGCCACCCAGACCTGTGCAGGAATACACTCACGGAGAACACACAGCTTTGGTGTGAACACAGAAGTGTTTTACTTTCAAGAATACAGAAATGTCTCTGAAAAGCTGGGCATGAGCTAAGTTTTGAAGATGAAAATACTTTCTAAATACTTTCAATAAAAGTGAAAATATTATTTATTATAAAATAAAATTACATATCAATATTTAATAGATCCATAAATTCATATTACATTAATGTTAACATATTTAAAGAAAATGTTGGTTTTCTTTTAAAATGTTCAAAACAGGTGAACATTTTAAAGCCATCACTGGAAACTCCAGATGTGCCTTGGGCTCACCAGGCATCAGCCCCCATGTAAGGGTGCTTACAGTCTAAGTTGTAGAGTTATTTAAGTGCTAAGCTCGTAAACCAAGCACCTCTAATGCTGGTGTATAGGGGAGGTGGTGGAGAGGTATCAGGTTAGGGTTCCCAGCAGAGAGTGAACAAGGTGGAGAGGAAAGTGAAGATGTCTAGGCCTCCAGTGAAGACTCTGCACATGATCAGCAAAGTTTTGTCCGTCTCCTACAAAACAGCAAGCTCTGACAGTTTTGCGGCTGGTTATTTTGAAGGTTCAACTCTTCACCACAAAATGACAAATTTCTGCCTTGATGATAGTAACAATTAAATAATATTGTTATTTTAAAATAATGGGCTGGGTGTGGTGACTCATGTTTGTAATCCCAACACTTTGGCAGGTCAAGGCAGGAGGATCCCTTGAGCCCAAGACTTTGAGATCAGCCTGGGCAACACAGTAAGACCCTGTCTCTATAGAAAATATTTAAAAATTAGCTGGAGGTAGCAGCGCAGGCCTGCAGTTCCAGCTACTCAGGAGGCTGAAGTGGGAGGATCACTTGAGCCTGGAGGTCGAGGTTGCCTTGAGTCTAGATCACACCACTGCATTCCAGCCTGGGCCACAGAGTGAGGCCTTGTCTCAAAATAAATAAATAATAAGATAATGTATAATAAGATAACTAATGCATAAATTATAATGCAATAATTATATGCTGTATGATACTAATTCCTGCTTTAAATTTTAACAGATACTAAATTCATACCACAACAAAGTCTTTGCATTACAGTAGGATTTGATTCAAGTGTCTAGAGCTTATCATCTGGTCCCTTCAATGGCTGGGTAAAGTCTTCCCTTCATTGGTTCCTTATTGAACAGCACGTGAGGCAGCGGAGCTGGCAGCTGTGAGGATGCGAGGACGCGGACTCGAGGGCTCAGGACGCTGAGGCTGACGGCAGCCGGAAGCGCAGCCGGAAGTACAACCACAGCGCTGGGGCGCATGCGTAGCAACGGCCGCGCCCTCCGGGCCGGAACCGTCTGGGGCGGGGAAGACGGGAGTTTCTCCCTCTGCTTCGCAACCTCACGGAGAGGACAGCCAAGAATTTGAAAGGACAACTCCAAGAGATGTCCCTGCAGCCTTGCAGACAGAAGCAGCTGTGTTAAGTAGCCAGGCAGAGCGGGGGAGAAGCAAGACAGAGGCCATGATGCCCTTCCCCCGCACTGGCAAGGGCTGAGGACGCTGCAGGGAACCGTGTTCAGGTGGAGTCCTGGACTCTGTGGCTGCAGCCTCCTGAAGGGCGGGCCACGGCACCTACCTGGGACCAGACCTGGCCAAGAACCCCGACTGTGAGGGGCAGGGGCTCACGGCGCCTACCTGGGACCAGATCCCAACTGTGAGGAGGAGGATCAGGTGCCTACCTGGGATCCGATCCCGACTGTGGGGAGGAAGCTCATGGCGCCTACCTGGGATCCGATCCCGACTGTGGGGAGGAAGCTCATGGCGCCTACCTGGGACCAGATCCCAACTGTGAGGAGGAGCCTCAGGCGCCTACTTGGAGCCAGACCCCTGCCTGAGGATCCCCAATAGGCAAGGAAGGGGAATCCAAAGGAAGTGGCTCTAAGAGAAAAAAATGGAACCCTGAGATCACCTCATGAATGTGGTATCTGGAGAATGTTTTGCTGTTGCTGTTCTGGCCCGAGGTTTGATGCCTAACTATTGACAGGTAGGTGAAAAACCCAGCAACAGAAAAAGGAGGAAAAGCGTCAAGTTATGAAGAAAGAAAATGTTGAATCTTATGTGGCTCACTGTGATGGCAATGATGTACACCAGCAATGTGAAGTGATTCTGTCAAGACGCTGGCGGGATAATAAATTATACTTGGGTGGTGAGAACAGCACAGGAGAGATTGATCCTTATTCTTGTTAGAAATCTAATGGACACTGATGTAAATTGGGAGGAAGAAAGAAAAGAAACAGCAGCATAAGTATGCTGTTTAGAAATAAAATAAATACCAGAGAAGACATAAAAGAGATGCTACCATAGGGCTGAGAACTCGGATGAGGAGGGGCGAAGAAGGGGCCGGAGACTATTATCTTCATCAGCCTTGTAGTATCATTTGCCTTTTACAACTTTAATATTTGAAGTGTATCATAAAGATAACCATTTTTAAATATTTACATTTTTAAGAAACATTGTGTAGGCCAAAGCAAAATAATGCAGGAACAGGCCATCAGTTCAGTGTTGGATGTAAGTGATTCAAATTTGGTGCAGTAAATTTGGGAAAGGCAGCAAATCCTTCTGTTGGAGAGTGTGCCGAGGCACAGGACAGCATGGGAATAGAAGGGGAGGCAGGCAGGGCCACCTCTGAGAGGAGAGAAGCACAGCCATGAAAGCAGTGGGCAGTTGAGATTTCATGAAAAAAAAAAAAAAAAAAAAAAAAAGGATTTGCAGATGGAGGTAGTGAGAAACAAACAAAAGTGTTTAGATGAGGCAGTCTGGGAAGTGGGACTTGTTAAGCTCTGGTAGCAACCTAGGTTTCGAGATGGTGATCATAAAGGTCACTCGAAAAGTGGAACATGTTTGTATCAAGAGACTGAAAAGTTACTTGGTGAAATTCAGTGGCCATTTCTAATTTTTAAAAACCCTAAATAGTAAAATAATGAGAATCCCTTAACATCACAGAGAATATTTGTTAAAAATAGCAAGTATTAACCCAGGTACTGTGGTGAGTGCCTGCAGTCCCAGCAATCCAGGAGGCTGAGGCAAGAGGATTGCTTGAGCCCAGAAGCTTGAGTCCAGCCTGGGTGACTGAGTGAGGCCCTGTCTCAAAGAAAAGAAAAGAAAAAAAATAAGAGGAAAGAAAGAGAGAGAAATGAAGGAAGGGAGGGAGGAAGAGGGGAGGGAAAGGAAGAAGAAAGAGAAAGAGCAAATATTATTAGACATGTTTAAACACAATTGTACAACTGAGGAGCCAGGTTGGGTACATACAATCCATTATTATTCAACAATGTGTCATAAGTTTCAGCTAAAAGAGCAGAAAAAAGAAAACGAACTGAAGTATAAATTGGTAAAAAGCAGAGAAAAAACCCTAGAACTGGACTTTCTGTATAGCAACCACTAGCCTCATGTGGCCATTTAAATGAAAGCTAATTAAAATGAAATGCAGTTAAAGGTTTGGTTTCTCAGTTGCAACCACCACATTTAAACTCTGCAGTGGAACACGGCTGGTAGCCATCACACCGGTACTTCCACTACCATGGGAAATTCTACTGGACAGCACTGTTTAGGGCCAGAGTTAGACAAATGCAGCGTAAACCTAGCAAACGTGTCTCACAAATCAAGAAGCAAAAAGAGAAAAGGGCGATGATACCCCTCAGTTTGCACACCGAGGTAGAAGCTCAGAGGAGCCACTTCTCTGGGTCATTGCTCTTCAGCTTAAAAGTTCCATATAGATAATCCAAAATACCCATGAATCAATATAAATGAGAAAGTTATTTCACTTATCACCCCAATCTTCATCTTTCAAAACCTGGCAGAGGGGTGGAGAAGGGGCCTTCTCTGATAATCAGCAGCCCTTCATCCGAAGTGATAGCCAGGGCTTGGTGGGCAAGCCTGGCTGAAACAGGACTGCAATCTGTCTGCTTTGGACATTTCACCTTAATTAGAACACAGCAATGCGTGTCACCACTAGCACTTAGAATGCATCGCCAAAGCCCCCAAGCTCAGGCTTGCTGGCTGGGTCACCCTTGGCCTTTGAGGGTCATGCCCCTGATGTGCTGCCTGGAACCTCCAAGGTCAGGGCACTGGGAGTGGAGGAACTCAGTCTGGCAAAGCTGGTGTCCGAACTGCCCG